TGAGACAAGCACTGCGCATCAAGAATGAGACGCTCTTGAATCGCAAGATGGCATTCACAAGGTAGGCCATGAAGGATGCACATCGATCAATGCCTTACACTAGCAGTCGCAATCTCTAAACATTAAAACGTCGACCGACTTCGACGCCCTCACTCCTGAACAGTATGCCGCAGTCGGTCGCAAAATGGGCATAATGAACATTCTATCCGAAACCTCGATGCAAACAACGCTTTGGGGGAATAAATGTTGTCTTTTGCTATTGTACAACCGCCTGACGTACGTATCTGGCCCTTTAACCCCCCGTGGGTTTGGCATTAGAGCTCACCAATGGCAGCCTCTTTGGTCATTATCGAAAGACTTGGGTCAGCGTTGCAACTTACACTGGGCTCGCATACGTCGCGGTCATTGTTTCTCTGTACGGAGGATGGTGTAGGCCATTTTCTGACTACATGGAGCTTCAGCCAGAGAACCGTGAGTCATCTGACAGAAGGGAGGCGGTGACAACATATATACGCTCCTACGGATTCATATTGGCCCTTGGGAAGAAAGCTGACGTTTGCTTCATCAGTGGAGTGTTTGACATGGGAGCACTACAACATTTTGCAGATCACAATGAACCTTTCAACGGATCTTGTGCTTCTTCTAATTCCTGTCACACTTATCAGTAGGTTGAAGATGAAAATCGGGAAGTCCGTATGCCCTTTTCCCAGTGTGCGGAGGATGGAATCCTCATCCAGAACCGAACCTGGATTCTGACTGCAATACGCCAATAGGAAACTCCTTCTCATCTGTTTATTCAGCATGGGTGTGTTCGTTGTAAGTCCCCTGCTGCAAAGGTCTCGCATCCGGTCGTATGTCTCTCTCCTTCTAATCAGCGTTTCCTGGACAGATGCTCTGCGCGATCCTCACCAAGGTCGCCGTCTTCACCTTCTCTACCGACCCCGTTTGGTTCATGTGGTGCGTGCGCGAGGTGAGCACCGCAATGCTGGTCGGCAACCTCGTCCTCGGCATGCCCGCCCTCCGCGCAGCGTGGCGGTGCGTTTTCCCCCAGAGCAGGAGCGCGCCACCGCGAGACGGAGAATCCTCTGCGGGTACGGGGGATACATATGCTACGTACGCTGCGAAAAAGGTTACCCGCGTTGGCTCGGACGCTTGGTCGTCCGCGGAACGGGGGGGACCGTCTAAGCCAAACTCTCCTCCCGCGAGGGTCGCTATCAGCAGCGTCTACACGGATTTCGAGCTTTACGGAAAGGCTGTGGTCAAGGATGAGAGTAAAATGGCGATAGGGGCAGACAATGTGTGACAGTAATGTAGAATTAGGGAGAAGGAAGTTGCCTGCGGCTAGACGCGAGGACTGCGGCTAGACGCGAGGACTGCGGCTTTATAATGTTTAATGTTTGTACTAACCAAACCATCACATACCAAGACGAGACGAACCGTTTTTGGAATAGCCGCCTCGTGTTCACTAAATACCCGATGGAGGCTCAAGGCTCACCTGAACTTTGTTTCTAGCAGGATTTTTACAGCACGTCTTGATGCTGGAAAGTCTCGCCGTCCTGTCTCACTCCCGTCTGAACTAACCAGTCTCGGGACGCTTACCGTTGACCACCCTCACCATTTGTACCAATGACCGTGGGAAATTCTTACGAGTCCACTACTCAAACTTCGTGTTCCACCTCTAGCATACACGCGTGCTCCTGGATCTGTCGTAACAAATGCCATCACACGTGACCCTGGCGTATTGATAGACACTCAAACACTTGGACAGGTTATGAGTGAGTTGATGTGTGCCAATCCGGATATTTTTCGGTGACAGTCATGTGCCATGCCACCAGACACAGTGATATACTTGGACATGCTTCCTTCCGGGCTGAGCGCTTTAGCCATATTGCGCATGGGCTCCTCCAAATCTGATGCGGCGATGTTAGAGGTACACAGACGGATCTCTTTCACCTCGCAACTTTGTGTCGAGGCCCCAAGTCAACGGACAGCTGCTGGAGATACTGAAACTTAAAAGACATCTACCAGCGTAACAACAGGTGAACTGTCACATCGTTCCATCAAGACAGGACTTTATTTAGGCTCCGCCCTCGGCCAGCCTAGGGATCCACCAAGGTGCGAGCTGTCCTGCCGAAGGGCGATGGGAGGGGGAGGGACGCCGGGTCTTCCGGCAAGACCAGGCCGTGAAGCCGGTCCACCTTGGTCCGAAAGGCAGATCCCAATCGGGATGGGCTCCGAAATCCTATATAGATACCCAGGGCGGAGCACGCCAGAAGAAAGGCTGCTTCCAGAGCCTGCCTTGCTCTTATCGATTACTTGTAAGGGCTAACTGCTCAAGTCTAAGCCCGGGTATTCAGAACTCGGCGCTAATACGATGTCTACCAAGGGTCTCTTGATAATCGTCGGTGTGAGGCCTGGCCAGCAACAGCTCAAGCTTACAGAGGAGGGAACGTGCTCAGAATGTATCACGTGTACCTATGCATATAAGATTTACCCGCCGGAGCACAGCATCTCATATTATGTTATGCTCATGGTATGCTTACACTGAGATTGGTAGCGGCCGTTGCCGCCTGCACCACGAGATGCTCTGGAGGAGTACGTCATGGGTATCCATGGAGGCAGCTCAGGAGCACGACAAATATCATAAGATGTCGTTCAATTTTTCCGCCATGAATTTTCTAGCTCATACAAAGTAGACTGAAGCTGACTGTAAGTTGCTGGCAGATCGGAGTTGTTGAAACCGATGCTTACAGTCTGGACTGCCCATCTACAACACAACAATGTACCATACTGCCGCTAGGGGTGTAGAGAACCCAGTGCGCCAACTCTTGTGGTGAAGTTTTGTTATAACGCCAGCCGCGGCAGCTTGTAACTGCTCCAGACTAGCCATTCATTCACCGGCAAGTCAACTTGGCAGATCGTATGTGGGAGGGGGAGAGCAAAGGGTCTTTCTGAAAGACTTGGAGTGGATCATGGATTTCGCTTTGAGCTTTGCTTCTCCACCTGTCTCTATCTCCATTTACTTGGGCTTCAGTCTGAGAATTTGTGTATCCATCCCTTCAAACCTCTCGGTCTCTCTCACCTGGATAAAAGGGACATGGTCCATCGATATTGGTCTTCAGCGCTGCCGCGACCGCTCCACATCTCTTGGATTGCCCCTCTCAACATCTCATTTCATGGCCCCACCGCGCGTTCAGAGAGGCTCCATCTATGCCAAACCCGCTGAACCCGCCAACCAACTATCACTGGATGAACACATCCACTAATCCCCGATAGTCTAGTGGTGAGGATATCTGCTTGTCATTGAATGGTCAGCGATTCGCAGGGGACCGGGGTTCAATTCCCCGTCGAGGAGTTCTTTTGCTACCTTTTGCAAGTCATTATAAGTTGTTGAGACAAAAGGGCGACGTTTGCGGCTCTTGAGAAGTTTGTGTGGTGGTTGGGGTGAGGTGGCTGGTGATGTGAGGCAGATGTTGGCACAACGCGGAAGGTACACCGACCGAGGGTGCACCGGCTTGAATAGCCCCTTCCTCAAAAATTGAGAAAGGGGTTTGTTTCCATTCGAAAGGAATGCGTTTCCATCTTGAAATCGGCCCTTCTTTTTGGACAAGTCAATAGAACGAGTTTCCGGTCGCTGAGGCCTTGAATGACTACTGAAAGCTGCTATCAGCAATGACTGTTGATGACATGGCTTTTTACTTCTTGTTTGACTATTCTAGAGACCTTTATACTCTCCCAAAGGTTCTCCCTTCTATTCAAACGTGCCAGGCCTTTGGCAAGTAGTCGCGAGCTAGTCAGTGCCATCCGCACAACACATCCCCAGGATTCTCTGGGGGGGACATGAGTACTTCCAGCTGCACTACTATCAGCGACAGACGTCTAACTTATAAAACGTGATCCAGAAGAACAGGTTACAGAACAAAGGAACCAGACGCATCCGTTACCATCCTTGGAACACGACGACTGCAGCAATGTGGCCAAGTCGATGTTGTCCAGGCTGAATCGTATGCCCCTCTTCCACCGCTCACCATCACTTTCCGACCGCATGAGAGAGTTTCTGCGGTCGATCGAGCGGTAGGAAACTTCGAAAATCATGTTCTCAACCTTCGGCTTCGACGGCACCCCCGGGGCCACGATAATATAGCACAGACTGAACAACCTTTCGGTACGTTGGTAGTAAATGGCGGTCAATAGTGAACGAGAAGGGTTGTCGAGTTCCGTGCTGGACTATCACGTTGTCTTCGAATAAAGAATGACACGTTGTGGACTCGTCAGATCGATCACGTCCTCGTTGTCGGATTTCGTCAGATTAGTCACATTTTCATTCCTCCCGCGTCCCCATCCCATGCCTTTTAACGAGACCATTCATTATTACCTTAGAGAAAGTCCCCAAGAAACAATCCACAAGAATATAGCAAAGCTTGAAGCGACCTTGTCGGTCTCACTCTTAATGCCGTTAATGACATGGGGGAGCCCCAAGCCCTACCTTGTTACAATCGTTCTGAAAGACGAGCGGGTAATTCGATCTGTAGAATCAGGTATCGGAACCCGGGCGAGCCATAGAACTATACACTCGACGGACCGCCGACATTGAAGCTATGAGTATGGACGAGATCGCAGCTGGGTCAGCGAGAAATGATTACTATAGTGAAACTCGGCTGCCGTACCCAGCTTCTTCTATTTAAGGAGCTTATGTAGGAACAATGTTTGTTGCGAGAGAACTGCCGAAGCAGACGAGTCTCTGGATCAGCTGTTGAGAGGATAAAGCCCCTCTGAAGACCCTTCCAAGCCCGGAGAACGAACTTGAAATCCTGAATCGAGCAATTCCGTCCTCCATTATTTATTATTGACAGAAGTTTCATCCAAAGTGTTGAGACTTGCATGACAGGGGGGTTTCTACGAAAGAGAAAAGGACGACGGACGACAGCCAATAAAATACAGGATGCCGAGGCGATTTGATTTCGGCAACGACTCTCCTCCGGGAATAGACACTCTTTCTATGCTCGAAAACGCACCATGGCGAGAATACAGACTAACCCGAGCTCTGTTGGATATGGAGAGACGCTTCATCCCGGTCTTTCTAAGAGATTGATAGAGTGAGCGGATGAGTGAGATCAGAGGGGCGAGAGAGACTGGCAAATGAAATACGCCTTTATCCCTCATTGGTATCAGGGATCTTCCTAAGGCACCTTGAGAGAATTCAATCATGTTGATTTGAATCCACTGATCAAAAGGGGTCTTGTTCCATGATGAAGAAGCCTTCGAGAAGAGGAGTAGATGAAATCATCATCCCTCCCCTCAGTATCGCATAGGCAGACCACGACAAAGAACCATCTTTGACAGAGAACTCAGACGGCAGAGAACATGACGTGGATGTTGATAGCACTATTCTAGACCTTGAATGCTTGGACGGCGAGCGGAGAGAAGTAGTGCAGACGGGGAAAGAGCAGCATGTGACATCCAAGGGTATCATAGAGAGAAAATGAGGATATCATCGACCGTCGCGGCCGGCCGCTATCCTTGAATACTATGAACATTGCCTAGATGGACATGAAAAGGCGTAGAAAGGAGTTCTGTGGTTGTGAAAAGAGCGAAGAAGGCGAGATGCAAGCCACAGAGAATCTCAGAACAGTGTGTCCAACAACGCAAGACTCTAAAACATGTACAAGGACAGGCACGACGCCGTTCCCACTCGACAAGCAAAAGAATTGTAAGTTGCCGTTCGACGGAGAAGTATTTCGGACAGTTCGACCATCGTAGACCCGGCTTGAAATGCGATTTCATCTATCAACACTATGGATGGCTACCTGACTTTGCCTGTCTAATGCTAACACGTTTCCATTGACTACAAAATACCCTCCTCGAAACGTAAGAACGGCTTGCGTGATACATCATGATATCAGCCCAATGGGTCGTGAGCCCAGTAACATGGCTCCCAAGTAACGCAGTCCGATCCTAAACCAAGAAGTCGTGTTTCTCTGGTAATTGGCATTGTGTTCCATGAACTCTCAAGCCCTCGGAACCCCCGGTGCTAGGTACTACCAGAGCCATCACAGAGCTATAGACATAGACAACTTCACCAGCATCAACGACGACCGCATCGAGAAAAAAAAACTGGCCGTCTTCGGACAATTTCCACCTAGGCAAAGCTGAACCGGGACGAAAGATCTTGACAAAGAAAGGACCGAATGTTCGGTTCGCCCTGACGACCCTATTCAAGCTCTCAGAGAACAATCCACTGGAGGAAACCTACAGCTCAAGATGCTACGACCGGCTATCCTCTCCAGCCCCCAGCCGCCCTCAACCCGAAGGGTAGGTAGATCATGAGACAAAACCATTATCAAACCGAGGCATCAAAACCAGCAATGAAGGTCGTCGGAGGCAAGTGCCACAGCCATCTCGCAATGCCACCCGCAACCCCCCCCCCCCCCCCCCCCCCAACCCCCCACAACCCCAACACACTCCCCCCCCCCCCCCCCCCCCCCCCACCCCCCACACCACGACCCCCCACCCCCCCCCCCCCCCCCCCCCCAACCCCCCCCCCCCCCCACATCAGGAACCCATGATCAACACTTGAAGATCTTCCCGGCGCCTTTCTGCCTCAGTTACGACTAAGATCAAGACCAAGACCAAACCCTCCCCCTCCTTTCCTGCCTCCCAACTGGACAATCAACAGACACGAAGATCTTGCTTCGCAACTCACACCACATACGTACCATCAAAGGACGAGGGTTGTACGTTGTACGCTGGGCCAAAAAATCACTCGTCACCCTACGGCCGAGAGAAGCATGCCTTAGGTACGAATCCTGTCCCGGGACCTCGTGAACGCTGATTCATAGGACCGACCCGCCCCCTTTCAAGTCTCCCAACCTCGGCGATGCACAACTGAGACAATGAGACTAAGACATCGAACAGCGCAACCCCCGTTGTGGCCACCGTCGTAAGTGTCTATACCGAAAGGCACCGCAGCCAGACCGACTCGACTCGACTCGACAGTCAGTCAGTCAGTCAGGCAATCCCGTCCCTCCGAGAGGTCTGAGGGGGTGTATAGCAAATATCGAACCCCCGTTGCCCCCCCCGTCTAGGTCAGAAATTAGACAGAAACCCTCCCCCGCCTTTGCCCCGCGAGAAGCAAAGAAAAAACAACAAAACAGAGGTGAGACATGCCATCGAAAAGCCTTACGGTGTAGTGCCGACGTGGTATCGGAACCGCTCGGAAAGTGTAAAGATTTCCCTCCCTCGTGGGTTCGATAAAAGGAAAACTTCGAGCCCAAATGACCATCCAGAACGGTCAACAAGACGTTGATCATTGCCCTACGGGACTGACCGCTGGATGAAACCCTCGTGCAGAACGAGCGATGCGACGCTACCTGACGCCAGCTCTAGTCTAGGTCCAAAGCTAGCAATGTCTCGGTTCTCGTCAAACAACTAGACTTCTTCGACGGCCCTTCTAAAGGTTTCATCAAGCGTGGGTGGGTGGTATAGAGTCGAACAAAACGAGGACCAAAAAAAAAAAAAAAAAAAAAAAAAATCCGAAAGCCAGACACGGCACACACCCCCCGGCCGACCCCACGGCGGCGCGGGGGGGGGGGGGGGGGGGGGGGGGGGGGGGAAAAAAGGAAAAAAAAAAGAAGAAAAAAAAAAAAAAAAAAAAAAAAAAAAGTCCGTAGAAGCGGCGACGTCTGAACCCCATCGTCAGATCATCGGACCCCAAATATGCTGTGTTAAACTCTTTCTGCTCACCACGGCGGAGCAGTCATGTCGATCACTAAGACGGATAATCCCATCCAGGAACCCCAACGTCGTATTCAGAGCTTCTCTGGGACAAAACCTTCATTGCTGGTGCCCCTGGGCTTCGCTTTTCCCAAATTGCTGGTAGATTTGCAGCGAGGATCATGTCAATAGTCGCAACGCTTACCCGCTCATCATTAGCCTCATCTGTGCCGTCCAGACGCACAGTCCACAAGCGGGATGATTTCGCGAAATGAACTGTCAGACGCCGTGGGAGTGAGAAACGCAACACATATTACTCCCACGTCAACAGGTGAAGGAATCCGGGGGGCAGACTAAGGTAGGTAGAGCAAACAGCTCATGTGCATCCGTGGTCGTCCGTTACCCTTCCTTCCCCCCTCCCTTTTCTTCCTCTGGGCTTCTTAGCGAACGCCATCCTCGGCCTGGGCCTCCTGTGTAGAAATCTTGGCCTGCATGTTGTTGATTCCAACTGCATGTACATGAGAGGCGAGTGCGTCGCTTTGACGAGCTGCGCCGCTCACCAATACCAAGGCCGGCCAGCTTCTCCTCTTCTAGACCCCTCTGCAGAATCGGGGAATTCATTCGTGAAATGAGCACCCGCGGGCTCCCGCAAGCCTCATCGCTCTTCTCCGCATCACAGCCCCCGATGGTTCATCTCTCATACATAGCAGTCATACCATGTCTCGTTGTAGAAAGTCGACCGACGCTTCCCCAGGCTGCAAGGCTCCCGGTGTGAGAAAAGACCCATCGCGCCTTTCCTCACAAGGACTCGGCCCACTAGATAATTCAATCGGACCGGCCAATTCTCATGTCCGTCGGCCTTCTTGAGGCTTAAGCACCGCCCATTCGGACTATGAACCACCAAGAAAGAGGGCGATTTGCAAAGGGGGAGACTTTCTTGAATGATCCTCCGAGAAAGATTCCACTCTCAAGGCCCCGGTGTCCGGCTTCGTGAAACAATAGAGAGCAACCATGACGGAATGCGGAGACTGACGGATAATTGCATAACAAATACCAAAAGGGCCCCCAATCTGGCCTCGTTGAAGAGGAATAGGTAGTGATGCAATTCCTACGGCTCCTCAGTAAGCATCTGCGAGCGGATGGAGTGTACCCGCGATGCCAAGAAGCATCTCACACACCCACCACGTTATGTCGACCAACCACACCTACGGCCCGCTGCCCCAATGCGACTTGTGCCTGCATCTGAGGGTGCATATACATCCTGAAAGTTCGAGGGATTTCATGGTGTTCAAACTTGTTGGTGTGAGATTTCCGAGCAAGACGGAACTAAGGATAAATGGCACAATCGCGTGGTGGGCCACGCATTGGCATCTATGAGGCTATGGGCACTTTTTCTTGGAGGAGGCCAGTCGAGACCAATCGCAGAAAGGGTCGAGGGCTGCCATGTCCCACACAGAAGCTACATGTCCATTCCGACCCAAGAGCGTGGGATTGGCAATCCGTATTTGTCTATCCACTGTTTCATGTGAGCTCCTGGACAAATATCGAAGTGTGCAGTGAAATTTGGCTGTCATTGTTGTCATCGTACCATGACCGTCGTTTCTTGGGCCTGAGATTCATATATTTGAGGGAGGAGAGCCGTGTGCTCGGTTTCAATCCACCGGGTCGATGCTGCCTGTTCGGTTGCGTTGTGGGCTCCACGTCGAGGGCTGCCATGGGCTCAGACCCCAAAAGAGCATCGCGTCGAGTAAAGCCCTGCTAGATGAAGTTGTTTCGGGAGGTGTCTTCCTGGTCTTGGACAGGGGAACAGCTCAAATATCGCGACCCATTGACCCAGAATTCCCAGATCAAGGGTACGAGCTCGGCCCTGGCCAGTCCGACACATTGTTGCTTTGTTTCTTTTTGGAAGGTAGTGGAACCGTTGGTCCGTTGTTTTTCGAAGTTTTGAGGAGGGGACAAAGACCCAAAAGTTCGCTGGGGCGCCAGGGGGAGGAAAACTCCAGTGGAGAAGTGGATGAGATGAACGTGGTGTAGAGGCACCTAATCCTGGTCTTTGTAGAGTCTGTCCGGGATGCGATTGTGTTCCCGGAGCGCGACGTGGATAAGGTGCCCTGGAAAAGTGGTCGAGGCTTTTTGTTTTATTTTGTCCGAATCAATCGTCAATGCCTCCGCTCTTAATATATTGACAGTTGATAAGGTTTACACTGCTCCGAGGTCCCGAGCGGCATTGGTTCAAGGACATGTTGATATATCGCGGCCCAAAGAGGGGCCATCTGTTATTGCTTTCAAAGGTACCTAGTATGGATACATGCTCGTATCTGGGTGGCCCTTATCGGATGTGAGCAGCAGGCTGCATACTCATGAGAGCTCGGTGGGGATCGAATCAAATTCTGGAGGATGTCTAGTAAAACCTTTGCCATTGTTGCCAAATGGACCATGTCCCGACACAACGAGACCTTCTCACTCACATCAAAGTATAGCCTGTAACCGGGTGGACATTGGACAAGAACTACCTCCTGCAGTCTCGCAAGGCGACCAGTCGTTTTCTCTTCTTTGATGCGGTCTTGCGACTGACGAGAGAAGATGGCACGACGGGTTCCAGTCTTGATGGAACGTCTCGCTTCCTGTGGTATGACACGCTGCACTGTACACTACGTGCTCGCAGGCCCGCCATGTGGGTGGCATCCGGACCGGGCAGCGGAAGCCATTTCCCCTGTGTGGTTCGTCGACTTTTCTGAGAAGTCGAGATCGGAAAGCGCTCTGTGGCTTGCTTGGTGGACCCGTCACCTATGCGAGTGAGCCAGTGGACAGTGGACCTGTCGTGACGAACGCGTGCTTACAGGCGTCGTTCTTGATATCAGAATGTGTCGTCACGCATTGATGAGGGGAAGAGAGATCTTGGCTTGGGTTCACGGGTGGGGGGCCCCCGGGAAAGGTGTGCACCCATCAACGCCTTCAACAAGCACCTCGTACTGTCAGCAACACCTTAGGTACCCTAGGTGAATGACTATCCACGATTGATAGCCGTTGACGGAAGTCTTCAAGGTGCGCCCTAGGAGCTTCAAGTCAGGCCGACGCGTTCTTGGTCGGCCACCAGCTTGCGCAGTGCGGAGTGCGGCGTAGCTTCGCTGCCCCTGGGTTACCATTTCGGGAGGCTGGCCAAATGTGGCTAGTTTCCCGTTCCACCTGGCTCTAGCGACCTCCCGAAAACTGCTGGTCGCCCGGTGCCGGACCCGCTCGGTCGGCGCTGTCTACGCCTCCACGACTCCTACGGATCTGAGTGGTTTTCCCTCCATTTTGCCCGGGGGACTCCGTTGCCTAATGTGCATCCGTAGGTGCCTTCGTACTGCACCCCGAGACTGATTGCCAGGGGAAGCACCTAAAACCCCGACGGGCCTTGGCAACTCGGAATAGACCACGGCCACGCACACCACCGGCGGTAGCTCATGCCATTGTGACCGGCAGGCTCTGGTGTCATCATTGCCCTCCATCAGCGTCCTCAATACCCAGTGAAAGATTTCTGCAGGCATTGTAGATGACTCAATGGGTGTTTCTCTCGCAACAGGAGCCATGCTTTTCGCTTTTCAGCTTCCATGATGGACGCCTTCTGCGGGCCATGGCCCCCGAGCCACCTTGGCGATCTTGTCCGGCTCCGGGTCATCCCACCGAGGGTCTTTTTTGGATCTTGGCCGACTATGCTGCAACCGGGACCGGGCGTCGTGCGTCGTGGTGGACTTCTCTCATCGATTCGTCGGGTCACGGAGGTTGGTTGGTGGTTTTGGCCAAGTCGTCAGTCATTGTGGCCATCCCATTTTCTGTTACCGACGTTACAAGCGAGCCGGCCGTCTCCTCCTCTGTTGCGACGATGGGAAAAGAAGCCTCATTCTGAAGTGAGTGCAAAGCAACACCGCTCACTAGCTTGCCCCTTCCGACTTTTCTTCTGTTGCTGGCAAGGGCTAGACTCGCGGTAGTTGTTACATTGAGCATGCATATAGCGGGGCTCTCGCGATGACCATGGTTCGACTTCAGGTCCCGACACTGTGGTCAAGGCCTCTTTCCCCAGTGGCCCCTTCCCAGAGTGGCCCGGATCCTCAACCATTCCAGAAAGAGGTGACACCCTGATCGAAATGGTGGCTCATCTGCTAGTCATGAGCATTCTGAATTCTTTTCTCAGAGGTCCTTTTACACAAACCGAAATGAAATTATTTACCCATGGTGGTAGAGTCGAGTATTGTTGTATCCGTATGGCGGGCCAATTCGACCCAGGCAACGGGTATGTCGATGCGCAAACCTAGTCAGATAACCCAGAAGTTGATTGCAGGCGTGATGGCTGCCAAAGTGAGAAAAACAAAAATGACGACGGATTTGCTTTGTCTCTCGGAGTCCAGGCTAATGACATGTACTTTGACTGGATTTAGAAAGGTGGCCGAGCGACATACTTGCGGTATTTCCGCATCTTCGAGAAGCCCTTCCGAAGGCTGTCACACCTTGCTAATGCCCACGCCAAGCTAGGGTCCCTACCTGTGGCTGCTGATAATGGCAGGTCTTGCTTTTAGCAGACATGACAGGACGGGCTGCGACCAAGACCATCTTCTCCCGCGCAATCGCCCGAGGCACAATGTTGGGATTTTCAACGATCAATCAAGAAGGTGATAACAGTCCCTTGTCTAGATGGTTGTCGTGCCTGCAGCTGTATGATGCGACGGCTGAAGTAGTGCCTCGTCTTGGTTGCAACATTTAATCTAGCCGGTTTGAGGGCTCAATAGTTCATGTTGAACCAATTAGATGGATTCGCTGAATCCCAGATTTCTCATGGGAAGAGTCGATCAAACCGCCTTCCAGTTTGTGCAGATGCTCCGGTGATGCGGCTTGCCGTACAGAGGTTACTCGTTGTTTCGAGTTTTCCCAGGATCGACAGCCTGGATGCAGAGCAAGTAGACTTGACAGGTGCCGTAGAAGCCGAACCAGTGACTGACTGGTGGGCGTTGATCTCAGAAACACTTCCCGTTCTCACTGGTAGTCTTAAAGTATGCCGTTCGGCCAAAACACCAATTGACGCCGATAGGAATCGAACCCAACTTAACCTACTAAACGTACCCCCCGCTTCACACGGTGTTGACAATCCAATCGCCTTCTTTGGGTCCCCTTTTCTCCTTCTTATCCGACGTCATTACTGGACTTGTAGATTTTACAATTTGATAGTGCGTTGAAGTTTATACTGAGTTAAACTTGGTCGGCTGTCACCAGTCCGCGCCTACAGAGTAGCGTGTTGACTTGTCTAGTGCACCGTCCGGTACCAATAAATGAAGACGCTTTTATGACGCCCGGGGCTAGTTGAGCAGTGTTGCGGGGTGGTGTGCCAGGGGTAAAAGGTGTGGGTGGGATTGCTGCTGTCTGGTTGTCTCTGGTTGACCGAAATGGACATGTCTGTGCATGAACAAGGGTCCTCCAACTCGAGGGGGGTGGCATCAAGGGTCGCGGAGCTGCGGATAGTCTCTCCTACCGCGCAGCGCAGTGTCGGCTGCACCCCTATGTCAGGCACATCTTTCGCCGTGCGAAAGACTTACGTAGCTTATGCAGAAGTCAGGGTGGTTCAGAACCTGCAGCAACGGGCATTGAGCCGTAAGGCGCGCCGCGACACGAGTTGAAATTTGCTTTTTGCTCAACGGGTCCCAAGTTTCGACACACTTAGGGCTTCTCAACCCGTCAATGAAGCACACAATCCAGCAAGGAGAAGGCCTTTCTTTCTCATCGATCGATTAGAATAGTTTCCAGGTTGTTGGGCCTCGTGGTTGGCCGACACAAGCCAAGAGAAGCACCACCCCCCATCATCGCTCCAATACTGTGCTCCACGGTGACTGCCAATCGATCTGCATAGCAGGGGCTCGTATGGGCAACGAAATAAGACATATTGGCCATTCACGTCTTTCCGATCGTGTCGTGAGCGCTGACAGGCTCGGGGACGGCACGCCATGCGACCACTCGGCGGCATAGGCGCTGACTTTTGATTCGGATCACAGACTCGTTCAAGGCCATCACGCATCAAAGATTATGTTAGCCCGGAGCTGTAGCGCCTCGTGATCATGATTGAGCTGGAGCTGAGTGCCGAGTCCGGTATTCTAGACTGCGAGGAAGCAAACTTCGTCTTCAGTTCATAGAGCACTTGGTCAGTTCAGTTGGCCATCCACCCATCATTAGTGATAGAATGCCAAGGCCTTACCCCAGAGATCTCTTTTTGGCCGACAGGCAATTGGTATGCCTTGGCATGATTTCTTGAGATTGGAGGCGGCTGGCAAAATGAATGGTGGAGCCCCCTTTTCTGAGTGCACTTGTTGGCTTTTGGCCGTTGAGAGCATGGCAACCCTGAGAATGGCCGAACTTGTCTGGGCAATGGGCATCGCTATCAATGCTGGCGGGAAATCCTTTTGCTTGCCGACTCGCAAGGCCGACTTCCTTGCTTCAACAATGGCAGCTGGAATTTTGAATATTTTTTTTTTTTAAAAAAAAAAGAGAGAAGGAAAAACACACTGGTATCCACGTACGCCGCTGGCGAATATTGTCTATCAGTCAGAACGTTGGCTCGTTGCGTGCTAGCGGTCGACTACCGAAGCCGCTGCCTTAGTCGTAGCTAGCACAACGGCGGCGGTGCCGCCCCTGGGTGTTGATTGAACGTTGGAACGAGTCTGTTGCGAGACATTGCGTAAAACCCTCATTGCCTCCTCCTCTCTCTGCTTCTCTCATCTTTGGGAAACTCTGAGCATGAGGTTCCTGAAAATGAGCAAGCCGAACCGCCGGGTTGCCTCTCATTCAGCTGGGCAAATGACGTAACAGATAGGGCATTGCTCAGCCCTAAACTCGGATCGCTGCTTTTGCCCTCTAGGTATTCATACGTACGAATACACAGTACTCGGAGAAGCGTCAGAGCTTTACAAGTTCAGGGATACCATGTCGGCTCCTAGATGTGGCCCAGTACGAACACTATATCGACAGACATTAAGAGGCGTATCCTGCGCAGTGGCAGTCGACTGCAACGTCCAGACTCGAATGTGGGCCAGTGTGGCAAAGAGTCGTCAACTGAGATTTCAAGAGCCGCCGTTCAGCTGACTCGCGTGCACTAGCCATGCAGTTTTTGGCTATAGTTCAGCCGCCTTCGAAACGCTCGCTCAAGTATCAAACAATGGAGAACCGCTAAAGTAGCTCGTTTAGCTGGTCTTGATGCATCTCGTTGCTAGAGTTTCGTAAAGCAATGGTCGACTCAGGAAGCAAAAGCTTGGGCGGTGAAAGAAGCCGGATGAAGCTGAACTCGGCCGATGATTGTCATCGGGTAGCACCTCGGCTTCGTGATGGCAAGGGCTAGAGTGAGACATGCAGACGCATTGCAACGAGAAAAACGCCAGTGAGAGACATTTGACTGGCAATGTCTCGCTCGGTGCCGTGCCGAGGGAGCGGTAGGTGATGGAGGGGAGGGATCTGAGTCAACTGACCGTCGGTGGTGCACCCGATACGCGCCACACCATGCGTACAACGTAGACAGCGTCGATAGCAGGCCGTGCTATAAGCCCCAAGGCATGAACGGTTGGTAGAGGCTGAGGTGAGGTGGCATCAGCAGAGCACAGCACTGTTGGGATTTGCCGGTGACAGCCCTCGATTGGGTTGGCGAGAGGGCGTGGAGAGCCATGCGCGGCGTGCTTTGTATGTATGAGTTCTCTGGGGAACGATCTGCCGAATCATGGCCAAAGTGTCCGTAGTGACGAGAGACTAGAAAGGGTTGAATCGAGGTCAACTTTAGATCGAGGTCGTGGCCTAGGACAGGGTCACGCGGTTGGGGTTGAGTTGAGGCGGCGGCCGGCGGGCAGCGGCCACGGCGGCAAGAGCACATCACAGGGACCTGAATGACGGAGGCAGGGGAACCCGAGGGACTCATTGTGGCCTTTCCCAATCCAGCCGTCGACCTTGCCTTATGTCATGTCTGACACGGGTAGCCAGAGAAGACGCAGCCTGGTTTCTGGTTGCTCCTTCCATATCATTGCTGAACTTTTCTTGGGCAACGCCACCACCCACCATCTGACGGCTTGGCAGGAACAGGATGAACAAGTAGGGGAGGACTTGAAGAGTCGCGGTCCAAGAGCAAGCAACCATGGACGAAGGCAAATTGGACGGCATGGTGCCCATCAAACCAAGGGCAAGTCATGCTGTGCCCCCCTGGCGTGATGGAAAGGCATTGATGAATGAGGGGACTGCAGAGGCACAATTCGAGCCAACCGAGATATTGCGTCTGGGTGAAGGTGCCCAAATATGTTTTCAGCACACTCGTCGACACGGCTTGTGCGCATTGTGAGTGGTGAAGTGTTTAGCGGGACGCCGTGGACTTGTGGACAGGTGCTGAACAACACCGGGTGGAAGGTCCACCGAATACCCTCGCTGAGGCCTGTCTGCGGCCTGACTGGTCTCTTGCCCGGTGGGGCCACTCGATGGGCTTCCAGGATTTGGTCCGCCACGGAGCATGCAGCACCTTAACTGGAGGTGGACCGTGGAATTCCCGGCCACACGACAGCAGCCCGGCCAGGTCGAGAGTCCCCGGCCGCCGATATGGGTCTCTTGACTGGGGCCCATTTATCCATCACACGCCCCCTCCCCCTTTCACAATTTTCCCACCCCCTCCCCCTCTTTCTGGCTTCCTCCTCTGCTCCTCCTCTGCTCCTCCCCTCCTGCGTCCGTATACGCCATCCTCCTCCTGTCTTCCAGTCTTTCTCTCCTTTAGAGCTTCTTTTTTCCCTTCCCGGCCCCTGGTCTGCATCCACACACTCACACCCTACCCCACCAGGTCTCACTCCTCCGTCCATCGAATCCAACAACACAACACAATGGAAACCATCAAATCCCTCCTCTCCTCTCTGCTTTGTGCCTCTCTGCCATCCTGGGCCTGGTCCATCAGTCCCTCAATTCCGTTCTCACGCTAACCTCCACCCCCTGCCATGAAGACTGTCGCCTCCCCAACAGGTCATGCAGATTTCGATGCATCGCCTCACGCGAGGCACAGTGAGCTCCGTCCCAGCGTCGCCGCCAGAGAGGGTCGTCGGGATTTTTCCTACAAAGACGCCCACCATCGTCACTCACGTCTCTCATTGGCCCCTGTCCACGCCCAATTGCCCATGTTAGTCCCAGAGTTGGCCGACCCATCACACACAAAATACCCGTTCCCGAGTCCTGCCTGGTCCGTTCAGTCGTGGTACCCCGGCATCTCTGGCCTGGACCCCGGGACCAGCGCCGCGACTGGTTGAACGAGACTGGACGCCAGAGCGGCCGAGTGAAGGAGAGAGAGACACACCCGTACCCTCTGCAAGAAACTTGAGCGGACGCTACCCAGTAGCTCACGCATCGTTGTACATAATGATGTCCCACCCTCCTTCCGACACGAGGGTTCTCTTGAACTGTTCTGGGCTTCTTTGTCGTTGCTTCTGCTCGCGTCTCTCTTTGATACCACGAGTTGTTGCTGCTACGCTACCATCGGCCGGCCTCGCCCTGACCTAACCTGTCAGCTCCATTTACGGACCATGACGGTAGCAACATAGCCAGGCGATTCTGCTGCTTGCCGCAAAAACCTCGACGACAACTTACATGCCGCCGTGCCTCGTTCACCAAAGCGTATTCAAACACCTGGGATACGAATCAAGTGACAGCAAACCTTGGACTTCAGCGGGACTGAGGACGTCACTGGGGGATTCTGTACACACTGCACGTCTAGCAGAAGGCCTACGACCCGGAAAACAGCCATCAGGATCACAGTTGTCATTGCCACGACATATCGTCACGATCAAACGCCATTGATATCCTGTAACACTACCCGGCACATTGTTCAAACTGTCATCAGTTTCCGGAAGAAGGCAACGATTGAGCGACCACTAGTGATTTTTGGCCACAAACGAATACCTCAAAAGCTGTGGATGTACTAGCCGCTCACCAGCTATAAGTCGACCATGGCCAACGACTCCCTTGCAAGGGGTGGCTGTCCCGTGCCATTCTACTCTGCGAGCCTATTTCCGATCGATGAAGGGTGTAAGTCTCACAAACAATGGCATGACAGGCCATGTCGTTGACCTTCTATAGTTATTGACGGCCGGCTGTGCCAAAACTTGAGCCCGACCTTGCAATGTTGCTTGCCTTGCCCGCTCACTGATTGGGTCTACCCGGATTACTTCAACACTCTGACGACGGCGGCCAACTGGGTCTGCGTTGCTAGCGCAGCATGCTGTCTCTTCCTGCTGATATCATGGGCAGTTCTGCCTGTTGATAAAACCTACAGACATTACCTAAGCATTTGCTTGACAATAGCCGTGTTCATCATGAACGTAAGTAGCTCTGCCTCCGCGAAGGGAACTGGAAGACTAATCTCTGCTTCAGCTTGGCTTTGTCGTGCCTCTCGCCGACCAACCAGAGCAATGCTACAACGAAATCACACCGCACAGTATGAAGTCTAGCAAGGTCTGCGGCGCATCTGGGTCTTTCCTCTTGCTCGGAGGCTGGGCCGGTGTCATGTGGGTCTTCTTGCGATCGTTGTCCCTACATCTTCAGATCTGTTGGCAAGTTGTCGTGGGTCGCAACTTTATGATCTTTGCCCAAGCTACGGGCTGGGGTATTCCCCTTGTTGGCATCATTGTTGCTCTCGTCTTCAGCGGCGTGTCCTTCCGATTCGGGGCTACGTGTCACATCAACCACAAGAACAGTCTTGCCGACTTCTGGATACCTCTTCTCGTCTTCGCCGGCCTCACAGTCATAATCCAATTTGCCACCTTCGGATATTGTATCAAGGTCTACCTTGCCTCCCTGGCTGATAACAGTGCGTCAACCGAAGGGTCGAGTTTACCCACATACAGCAACAGTATCCAGACCATGAGCCCTCGCCAAGCGTACCGACGAGTGAGGCGCGTCATTTCGCTCCAATGGAGAGGTATCGCCATTGTTCTCATCATTGTTGCCGACGTCATCTTTTTCTCCCTCGTCTTCGTGTTCCAGGACAACACCGTCCAGGCGGTACACGATGACCAGAGCATTGCCCAGGATTGGGTTCTCTGCCTTATCGGCAACGGAGGAGACAGAACAAAGTGTTATGACAAGGCCAAGAACATGGTTGTTAATGAGGCAACCATCACGGCGGTCCTGATTCTTCTGGCGGTAAGAAGCGCGCCGCGCGTCTCTATTTCCGCTTTACTTGACACAGCTTACTGATCAAACCTAGATGAATGGTATCTGGCTGCTCTTCCTACTGGGTCGTTGGGCCATGGTCCTTGGCTGGATGGACCTTTTCACTTCCTGCCTAGGCAGAAACAAAAAGGAGTTCGTATCGGTGGATGCCCGATACGACGTTAAGAAAGACACACGTGCGTACGAGATGCTGTCTAGAGACTCGAGCGCTGTTGTAACACCAATCTCCCCAGTCAAATCACCCGTTGTAAGTCCCAATAACGGACGAAGAACGCCGGACTACTTTGGGCAGACCGCCCGCTACCAGCCGCCGATGCGGTCGTTCTCGAGCCCTCGACCGCCACAAACACCCCCAACTTGGGATGCGCGAGCAACATACGCTCGGCCCGAGTCACGATCCCGAGGCGACGGGTTCGATGACATGAACCCACTTGGGATGAACAGGATATAATGAGACGATGCGGCTGGCCACGGCGGCGTGACAAGATAAGGACAAAGAAAGAAAGAAAGAAAGAAAGAAGTTGGCCGAAATTTGAAGCGAGAAAAGAGATCGGATAAAGTAAATCATACTTCAAGCGCCGATTTTAAACGCGCACAAACCAATACCCCGACAACCTAACATGAGTGGCACCATTCGGCTGAACTTGGATTCTGCCCACGCTCATGGTAAACATCAGCCAATGTTAAGAGAGATGATGTAATGTGGAGGAACCACCGGCCTCGTCGGCCATGTCACTATGTCAGAAAAATTCAATGTAATATCAGCGTCGGAGTCTCGGTCTGAGTTATGCCGTGAAGGAATGCGAGTAATCGCTGACTCCACATTTTAAAGACCAAAAAAGAGGATTATGGGAAGGTCGGCGGCGGGAGCCTCTCTCTTGTTGGTGGATGGCCTCGGCGCCTCGGGGCGGGAGAGGAACGTGAACAGCGGAACGAATCACGATTAAGGGATATGTGGGAGCAGTTGAGAGTCCGAAAAATACAAGAGTCACGCGACAGCTTAATGTCAAATGGCCTTATCAAGTACCGGATGTGCATGCCCAATGGCCCAATGAGTGGAAAGGCAGGGAAACTACCGAACAAGGATGGTGTGTTGTGGACTTGTGGAGGGATAATAAGCCCGCCCGGAAGATGCGGAATGGCCGGATTCAAGAGTGATGCGAGGAGCGGAGGAGCTAAACAAATCTCAGCAAGCGCATTGGAGCGACCATTGATCAAGTGCCATGTCATGGCTTCCCAATGCTTCCGCTCCGGCTTCTTCGGAGACCAGGACTGACTCTGCCGGCCTGGGCTTATGTGATGTAAGCGGAAGTGCAACTTGATTGTTCGGTGATGGACGGACTTTTCACTCATCTGCCCATCTTTCGATTATAAGTAGATTGGGCTTCCAATGGGAGGAAATTTCATAAGGAGCGTATCATCTTTTCTCACTCATATCAACAACACGTCACATTTACTGAGATACCGACGGAGACACGCGCATGACTTGACAACGAGGCAGCAACCACGACGAACAGTTGATCCTAGCTTACACCAGAAGGACATCCATCAACTCCTCGTTTCAAGCTTAACGACGAACTTTGAATTCACTTGATCCAAGCCACCACAACTGCGAAACAGAACAAAAAAAAAACCTCGTTTAATCCGACATCCAGCGCGTGGGTCGTCAAGGACAACAGGTTGTGCTCAGGTTTCGCCTGAACGTAAGGCGGAAACAAATAACGAAACCGAGAGCGAGAACCACGACAGCGGAAGCTGACCGAGGGAAAGCTGACCGAGGGAAAGAAAAGATAAGAAAAACGGACACATAGAGGAACCTGTCATTCCGCCAAGACGGACGCGGCTTGACATCGACAAGGTCTGTGCACGTATTCGGTGTGATAGTTCACTATCCGGCATCGAATCGAGACGACGAAAGAGACGAGACGGAAAACATCATTATACCACATTCACTGTGAAAATCCTCAAGGAAGGCCAAATAAGAAACATTTCGCTTTAGGGAAAAGTCAAAAGCAGAGACGGGCAGATCCAGGCGTGTGAGGTCATCTTCCTGTTCACTGGATTATCGGCATCGTCGGGACAAGCTCTCCCCCCGGCCGCCATCCGTCGGATTGAGGCTTCATCCTTGCAGCAGGGCTGGCGCTGGAAAGAGACTAGTGGACTCAGCTGTACACCACCATCAACCGCTCAAGCCCACCGCTCCCGGAGCCCCGATCCCGCCAAGGGAGACTCGCAGCCCTCAAGGTGGTGGTGACTGGACCACAGTCGGTTATCTCATCCGGAACATTAGTAATGCCATTCACCGAGATCTTCCAGCTGAACCCCGGCTCGCTGGCCAGGGTTTGGCGCTGGAGCTCGGGACGTCCCCAACCTGGGACACGGGTTGATGACATCGAGCAACCGAGCACTCCGCCAGCCAGAGGCGGTGTCTACCTCCCGAGCATAGACAATTCTGCGACAACCAAAGATCATGGAGCCTCCACCGGCATCTTCTTCCGCAAGATCTCAACGTCACCACAGCTCTCCTCACCAACAGCAACAACACATTCGAGATTAAGAAGGAGAACCTGCCACGTCGGCTTCGTCAGATTCTCGTCATTCAGGATGTTCTTCATTCTGTCCCTCATCTTCCTTGGTGGCTACGTCCACTACCTGTGGAAGGCTGAGGCCGCTCTCGGTGTACCATGGGTGCCCGATCCGGAGGCCCAGCTGTTCCAGCAGCGGCCCCTCTTGCCTCCGGCCCAAGAGTCCAGCATCGACACATACTCGCTGCCGCTGCACACAAAGGGCCGGGACATTGTCGACGAGGAGGGACGTCGCTTCAAACTCTTGTCCGTCAATTGGTACGGCGCCAGCGATGAATTGAACATTCCCGGCGGGCTGGACGTCCAGCACCGCGATACCATCGCACAAACCATTCGCGGGCTCGGCTTCAACAGCGTGCGCCTGCCCTACAGCGACGAGATGGTTATCACCGACCCCCTCATCCCGGCCGAGCTGGTCGCGGCCAACCCGGACTTGATCGGGAAAAAGGCCCTCGACATCTTTGAAGCGTGCGTGACGGCGTTGACTGACGCGGGCATCGCCGTCATCGTCAACAACCACATCACGCACTCGACCTGGTGCTGCGGCGCCGACCCCTGCGACGCCCACTGGGCCAACGACCACCTCGGCCCACTGTGCCGCATCAGGCAGACCGAGGAGGACTGGATCCAGAACTGGGAGAAGATTATGCTTCGGCTGGTCGACAACCCGGGCGTCATCGGTGTCGACCTTCGGAACGAGGTGCGCGGTGTTTGGGGCACAATGACTTGGGACAAATGGGCTACAGCGGCCGAGAAGGCCGGCAACCGGTTGTTGGAGATGAAAAAAGACTGGCTTGTCATCGTCGGCGGCACCGAGTCCGGCAACGACCTTACCGGCGTCGCCAAGAGGCCCGTCGTGCTCGACGTCCCGGACCGCGTCGTGTACTCGGCCCATGTATACGCCTGGTCCGGTTGGGGCAGCCTCGAGGGCCGGTACTCGAAGCGGGCGTATGCGTCCTTCGTCAAGGCCATGCGGCATAATTGGGCCTATCTCGTCGAGGGCGACCAGGCGCCCGTGTGGGTGGGCGAGTTTGGTGCGCCGCACCAACCAAGCATCGGGGACGCGAATTACTGGAACAACCTGCTGCGCTACCTCAAGGTCATTGACGCCGATTTCGGGTACTGGGCCGTCAACCCGCGCAAGCCAAAGGACAACGTCAAGGAGACGTACGCCCTCGTCGAGGACGACTGGGTCACACCCGTGCTGGACTACCGGATGAAGGACATGGTGGAAATTATGAGGGCTTAGTGTGCTCCGCAGTTTTGGCTGGATGATGTTTGTCTGCGAGAGTCGCGAATCGAAGGGCTCTTGGCAACGATGTGCATTTGATACGAGAGATGGGTTTTGCTTGTATCAAACCCTCCTGATGGCGTTTACGGTTTGGATTTATTGTAGGCACTCGATTTTTAAGGAGTACCAGCTTCGGATACCCGGCTTTGGTCAGGCACGAGCTAGACGGTCACTGACGATTATGTCATAAAATTGGCGGATAGTCAACTTTGGTATTATGATGAAGGTCTGATACAAGCAGTTGGATTCATGAACAGCCAGCGATTAATGAATAGAATACACTTGGACAAGCTTTTGCCGACTCTCGTCACTTTCTCATCTCATGTGAGGCATTCGCTCCTGTTGAACGAAGTACTGCTGATAGAACTTACATGTCCGGGCCTACTATGTCATCCACGTGGAAGAGGCAGCTTTCAAGAACCCCGTAACAAAGGGGTCAGTCAATGGCTTTAAATGGCGTTGATGAAGGATCGGTCGGATGGCACGACCGTGACCTTGCTTTTGAATTCGTCCAAGCCGTGATTGCAGCGACTATTGTCCGTGACCAGAGGCGTGGAGCAACACCCTCTGCCTACTGACTTCGAAATGATGGTTTATACATTGTATGTCCGGAATGTTTCCTCCCCGCAAACAGGCTCCCTGAAACAGTCGACCCCTCCTCTCCAGACAAGCAACACCAGCAAGGTGACCCCAGCACCATCTTTGGAAGCTTCCCCCTCTCCTCCACCCCGGGAACGTTATCGATAAAAGCAAGACGCAGGTGCCACTCGACTCGTTATCGATAACGGTAAATTAAAGTGGAACCACCCCTCAGTGGGTGCTCGTGAGGGATGTGGGAGAGGGCGGCACTGGTGGGTGGTGTGGCCATTCGACGACAAACGGATAGAGGGAAGCAACGGATGAGCACAGCCGGGGGTTAGGAGGCCACTCTCTGGACCTTGCCTTACACCAACCCACTTCTCGCGCCGCCCAACGCTTGCACACTGCAGTCTCCAATCGTTGCGAAGGCAGTGCTTCTATTCCGTCGGAAGTAGGTCAAGCATCAGACCCCATTTCAAATAACCAGCAAGGGGCGGCTCGTATGTCGCGCGCGAGGCGAAAGGGAGAGAAAGACTCCAAGGTGCGGTAGATGGCGGGCCAACAGGGTCAGTGTCATGATCGCGGCTTCCGCGAGGCTGTGCTGGGGAAGTGTCAGGTTCAGACCTGTATCGATCGGGTACGCGCGACACCCTTACTTTTAAAATATCTATCCTTTTTCCCAGGCAGCGAGGCCTTTACAGCTTTATGCCGCATCGTCCTGCATGCTGACTCTGTCTCATAGTTTGGCGACGGAGCTACCGAAGTGATCAGGCAACGCGAGCGCGACCATCTGAACGGCATCGAAAATGATACACTTGTGCAAGGCGTCCCATCTGACCAGATCGTGACTGGTGTCGAGAATGAAGAAGCGGGCAGCTCACAGCAAACGATTTTGGAGAGGAAGATACCGAAGACACCGTACTTCAGGAACAACCTGACGGCTCTGTCGCAGAGATACAATGTTGGAACCCTTGCCTCGTCGGATGATATGAGGATGGCTCTTGGTTAACGACCCTCTTCTCAGCTCTATTTCGCCGCGTACGAAAATCGAATCTTCGTCTACCGCCCCAAGGGCGTTCCGAAACAGGCACTCCCTCAGGAACCGGGCCTCATCCTGGCCACAAAGCCTGATAAGATCGCGCGACACATAGGGGGCACGCTAAACGTACGATTCCACCACCAGATCAACCACGTCGCTATTGGCTTCCTTGGGAGAGAGGAAATCCTCGTTTCGGTCTACGATGACGGGTCGGTTTTCGCATACTATATCCGGCAAATTGCAGGTTACATTGAGCGCATAGCATCTGGTTGTCGGAACCCCAATCCGGTGCCGACGTACTTCTTCCGCGAGAACGTTGGCATTTCGGCATGGGGCATCGCAATTCATCAAAAGTCGCGGCTCATCGCCATCAGCTCCAACAAGCGGGAAGTGACCGTCTTCGCCTTTGGGCTCTCACGGCTACCCGAGGACATGGAATCTCAGGCAAGACCTCTGGATTACTGTGAGAGATCGGTTCTCAAGAGGAAACGAAATTGGAGAATCTGCATACCCCTGGGTGACGGAGGGCACAACATCCCCAACCTCTCTCTCTGGGATGACCCCCAGGGCTTCGCTGAAAAGGTCGTTGCGAACGATATCTATGGGACTACCTGGATCTTGGACATATGGAAGGTCGGAACGGCGCCGTTCAAGATCTCTCACAGAGCCAATATACAAGGGCAGTGGGCATTCCGTAATCCAATGTAAGCCTTTGTCGCGTACTCCAATCTCACGTCTGCTAATCCCAGTGTCAGGGGCTGGGGCGTCATTGTTCTTCCGTACGAGAGTTTTTTGCCTGCACGATCTGTGACGGACCTACTAGGCATGGATGAATCAGACATTATGAACGCGAAGAACTCTCATGCTGGGCGATGGATTGAGACCCAACGGGGCCTCTCTCGCATTCGCGATCATCCTGCGGAGCCGATTGCTCAACGCATGCCGGAACCGGAAACGTTCGGCCACCAACACCACGGAGCGGTATGGTTCCAGCATCAACAGCCAGCTTTCCTCGCCGCCGTACTAAATAATCAACCGTTTCTTGGGCTCCCAGGACCTCCGCTGCCGCCACTGCCGCCGCCGCCTCCCCCTCCTCCGGCACCAGACGACGACAACAATACCGCAGAAGGCGGTGGTGCACCTCCCGCGAATGTCATCACTCCTCCCGGCGCTCCAGCGGTGCAGAACGCGGTTCTGTTTATCCCAGATCACGAAGATGACGACGATGGGTGGAGCGAAGAGGAGGAGATTCCGGAGATTCCGGTCGCAGCGTGGGATGATATGCCTTCTTCTGCCTTTGATAGCGAAGACGATGACAACCAAAACCTGAATGGACCTGATGGCGAGGATGCGAACGAGTTCGTTTTCATCGAAGAGGCGCTCTCTGCAGCGGAAGAAGACCATGGCACCGGCGAGGGCATGACGCAGATTTTACCGCCTGATGGGACCCTCAGCTTCTTCAAAAACACATCGAACCACGACTTAAGCGGCTTTCAATCTTCCTGGCTTGACATGGTGTACACGCCCCATGATGGAAAGACATACGTTTCTCCGACGTCGGTCATCGGACGCCTCCAGTATCTACGTCGGCCTCTGTTGAAGAATAGAAACACAAAGGAGCAGGATAGGGGCGTCCTCGAAGAGCTTGGCAGCCGATGCTGCATCTTGCGAACCTACGAAGAGGATATTGAGATGCGTAGCATCAACCCGGACGACGGTGCGGCGGTGTTCTGCAAGGACCCGATCACCTGGATGTATCCGCCTCACCCCTTACTTCAACATTCCGAGCGGCTCAACATGATTCTCCATATATCGGAGCTGTCGCTCGTGGTGATCGGGTCCGCAATGGGCCGGGTGATATTGCTGACCCCGACACGCTCGCGCTACCACATCCGCGGGGACGGCTATAAGCTGAAGCAAGGATTCCGGATCGATCGGGTTCTGCCCACGCTTCCGGACGAGAAGGCTGGACGTCGGCCGCCTCGGGGGCTCTATGGCATCGCTGCCGGTCCGATTCAGGAGGGAGGCGCGACGGGGTGTCTGCTGCGTGCCGATGATGCACCCATGCCGTCCCCTGCGTCGAGGCGGTACAGGCTTATGCTGCATTATCGAGATCATAGTATTCTGAGTTACGAGATCAGTCGGGACGACAAGAATGAGCATATTCTCATTTTTTGAGATGACGCTTCCTCTCCCTTCTCGGGTAATGATAATCTTTCCCGGGCGAAGGGGAGAAGCAGAGTCTAGGCATGATGGGAGGTCAAGGGCACTGTTTCATGAAAGACGCTGGAGGCATTCGGGTTATGCATTTTCTCTATGGGCATGACGGCGTTTTGAGGCATTTGAGAAGGTTTCCCTGATACCCAGCCTCATGAACCCCCCCTTCTCGCCGTGTTTTGCTCGCGGGAGAGGGGGTTCCGAGCGTAAGATAGCTAGGCCTTGAAAAATACGACGGAATTTGATAGTGCAATGTGTGCGATGTTTCAGACTCGTTGGAAATTTGATGTTCTTTTGGAGACTGGCTGGCAGCTGGGAACTTTAGTCTTGGGTCCCCGTTTAGGTGTTGAGGCTTTCTTCTCGTCCAAAGATAGAGAGGCGGGAGTAGGGGACGAGGTGGTGGCCGCGCCGCTTGGTTTTTAAAAAGAGTGAGACAGATTTCGATGTCTGCCTTTTCGATTATCTCGGTGGGTTTGAGGCAATGCCGACCTCGATTACAGCTGTATGCTTGATAATCGTGTATAGTTATACGTGTTCTGAGCGGCGATTCCAGCGACTGCTATCAATGCTCGAGATGGGTACTCTGCAGGCGAGTAATCCGGTTCTTGGTAGTGAATCTTTGACTATTCGAACTCCGCCCCTGATACCTTGCTTTCCCCCCGGTAATTTTTTTGGGAAAACCAACTAGACCTTGCTGCGCTTTCCTAGGTCTCCATTTCGCTTTGAATGGTACATGCAATGAATTGCCTCGCGCACACAAGACGTTGAGTTGGGAATGAGACGCCAAGGGCAGGGTAACAGAGAGTCTTTCAAGTACCTGATCGACGGCACGATGACGCGCACCATCTGAAATAATTGGCAGCCTGAGGATCTGTTTATAACGCGCGCTTGCCATCTCTATCACTCTTGTACACATCACTCTCGATTTCAAGATTGATGGGTTCAGAGGCTCCCCTCCCCTGCCCTCCCCTGCCCTCCCCTTCCCCCCAGCGTAAGACTCCAGTTCAAAGATTCACATCTGGAGATATCTTTCTGAGCTGTATGCTATCGGTGAATTGCGATTGGGGGCATTGACGGCTGTGAGGTCGTCAATTCTGTGAGAATGCTGTTCCCATGGGGTGGGCTCACCAACGCGCACCTCATTCAGGTCTCACGTCCTAGTGCCATCATTGAGCAATCGCCATGGGATTGGATACTGAACATGCTGTAATATTGGCAGCTCTCATGCTCGTTCGAAAAAAACTCGATTCCCGACAGTAGACGTTGTAGCAAACCATCGTAATTCATCATCGGCCCGAGCATGATGTCCACCTCTGATCCTTGGTCAGCCAGTAGATCTCAACGGCACCATTCTGGTGATGTGAGCGTGGTTACGTTTCAATCAACCCTGAATGATCATATTTGGATACTGTCGGTGGAATTTTCCGTGGCTCAGCATCGTTTGTTGTATTGTATTGAGGTCGGTATACACGACGAAAGCCAGATGCTTTAGGGCAGCGTTGGACTACCGGCCCGTATGGAGGCACATCCCACTATGATGTACATCCATGAATCAATCTCACATCGAAATTACCTCAACAACTCACTTACTAATTCTCACAATACGACTGTTTTCTATCTTTGTGGTTCTCATACTTAGCTTAAGTTGTGCTGGCTTTTAAATATCTCCAGTGTCGGGAGTAGACAGGCTCCAGCTCCGCCAGGAAGAAGCTTGCGGTCAAATAGAAGGCGGAGCAGATCTGATCTACAGGGTCTCGACCAGGTGGTAAACAACATAACAGCAAGGTCTCAAACATCTCTAGCCTAGTTTCAAGACCAATCGCCAACATAATCCAGGCCATCTCCGCTTCATACCATCTATCTGCAATTCATCAGAGATACATGTGACACCTAGGTAGAAGCAAAGCCTAATCAACAGCAACCATACATCACCAGTTTAATTACAGTCTCACGTTCAACTGGCTCTGAATATTACCGCTGTAGGCTTACAACTCACTATCAATTGATTCACGATCGACGAAGGGGTCGATTACCATATTGCTAAGCCCCTTTCCCTTGATCCTGTCAGTAAAATGCACGCATTGGACGAGCTCTGGAACATGTTTGGAGGGCTCTCAGATTGAAACTTCTGAAAACAGATGTCCCGTACAACAAGTCACGTTCCGGTCTGTAGTATACAATGACGAGTTAGTTGTGTGGGATCCCGGCCATACAAAATCCATATAGTTCCCCAGACATGGCTCAGACAAGTGCCATCCTTCGTTCAATGGCTTTGGGAAACCTCCCTCTTGCATTACGAGACCTGCAAACACACTCTGTATTCGTCGCGGCTGACAAACTATGCATTTTCTAAGCCCTCCAGGGTTTGATGATTATGGCATACAGATAAATACCTAGCGAGAGATATTGCTGACTAGACGGGTGTGATTGCAGTGAGATGTTGATTGGTTGATCCGGACAGAGCTTTTTTCTCCCGTCACGGCCCACCAGACGAATTTGTAGTACAACGTCGACGATTTAGTCGAATGAACGCGCTCACAGAAGTAGGAGAGTATCATCACGTAAATCGTTATGTCCTCCGGAACGCTTGTCGAAAGGCAGTCAGACTGGCAGGCCTGGCCAAGACAAGTAGGTTGTAGATGTGAACTACGACCCAGTCACTGGCACCTCGCGTCATCAGAACAAGATAACAAAAAGAAAAGATACAGGGGTTGACAGTGCATGAGCAAAAAACGTTCTAGTGGCAGGATGGTCTACACTCAACTGATATCTGTTCCTTGCGATTCACGAACCTAATGCTCCTGGAGATCGTTGTCTGATGATAGCATCTGCTAGCAGCCGTACGTCTCGAAACGTCCAAGGACTCGCAAAATTTGTCTATTCCCCTTGCATGCGTTGTCTGACTTCCTCTGCCCGCTATTTCCCAAGGCGTAGACTGGCCGATAAGATAGAGCGAGTGATGAAGCAGGCTTGTAAACGACTCTTTGGCGCCGAGCTCGAGGACAGCGGCAATGCTTGTCAATTGGCCGGCTGACAGTGCGGAGGAAGCATGGAAAACCCACTCAGTAACCTCTGGAACTGCGTCGCAACTGCCTTGGACCATCTCGACACGGGGCATCCATCTCAGTGCACCTACAATACTCAGCTAAGAGAGAGAGAAAAAAGGGGGCCGGGTCGTAAGCCTTCACGATAATGATGCGATGGATACATCATGAGCCAGTTCTCTCCCCAAAGGCTTTGTATCACTCGTCACATACAGCTGAATCCTGGAGGCTCGCAAACCTGGGACGGCAACTGAATGAGGTTTTTGTTTCATCGAAGATTCATCTTGCGTGAGTGGTTCTCGTTTCCCCCTTTCCTGGAGAATACAAGGAACAGTATCTCCGCGCTGTCGAAATATGACCCAGCATTGAATTCTGACGAGAAAACAAGGATAAAGTCAAGAATAGTGTCTGCCGTTCCTAGCGAACGACTCTGGCACCAGGTTTATCTAACTCTGAAATAGTTGACAGGCACCACTGCGCAACTCTAATGCGGCGGGACTATTATTGTTGGGCATAGCTCCAGACGGTTTCTCAGGTATTGCCAAGCTGTAAAGATCTTCATCTTTCAGATAGGTCAAATATTGAGAACAAACAATAGTAACGGCTAGGCACGTTTCGTGGATGGTATAGGAGAGAATCTGTGAAATGCACGTATCGTCGCTGTGACACCCTCATTCAGTACTATCCACGGTGTATGACTGGCACAAAATATTCCTCAGGTCTTGCGTGGCTGAGACTTCAGAGCAGAGTATGTCGTCTACACCCGTTATTCCAAATGATGTGACAATGGGAGCACTCCAGTACATCTGTGATACTACGTGTCGTTTAATCGACGTCATACTATCAAGACATGTAGAAAAAAGGCGCATAGCGCTGTGACCTTATAAGTTGCAAGAATGGAGGGGGGCCCTCCAGTCAACAACGCCCCGTCCCTTCTTCATCTTGCCCTTGCGAGCGTTACTATTCGAACAATAACCCAGATGCAAATGAGACAAGAATGCCTATTTAAACAATGGCTTGGATGTAAAGTGCCCTCTTGGTTCGTTTTTTCAAAGTCACCAGGAGAAATGTCTCGCCTGAACCCCGGTCCTCCCTTGACGACGGAATTGATGTTAGTTATCAGAACCAATTCGAATTGAGACGATGCCGTAATAAGACGCCACATAGTGATTAGTCGCATCATTAAAAGCCTCCTCAAGCAGGCCAGAAACCTGCAACACCAACTCGACATGTCTAACCCCGATCAAATAAGACCCTTCTGGAAGGGGAAAAAAATAGGGGGATGACCGAGAGAGCTCACGGCCTTCCGCCGGCCTGAGCGGCGGCGCAAACTGGATCCACATTGACTGCCGGGAAGGAGCGAGCGCCCCCGATGTGGATCCTCCTCCATCACCGCTAAGGGTGGATACTCTTCCGCTGGTGAATGGAACATGACATTTTGCGCTGACAAAACGACCGGGGTCCCGATTGGCTCATCTGGGCGCTGATAAGGCTAAGGTTTAGCGCAGGCTTGCTAGGGGAGGCGGCCGGGAACAGGGAATCTCTCTTCTCGCCAGAATTAGAGAGGCACACCACACCACACCACATATTAGACGTCATTTTTTTTTGTGTTGTCGGTTGCCCCCCAACTCCTGGGTCGCGAAGCCCACATGTCGGGTGGTTCCAAATAGGCGGACGTCGTCCAGACTGGGCAATTGTCTGGTTCTTCTCGAACACGATCACTGCGCCGAGAGTAGAGCCCCGTCTAAGGAGGTCGGACCCGGCAGTGAAGGCTCACGACCAAAGCTGGGGTGCAGCAGTATCGGCGAAGATGGCGCATGATAGGGCATAATGCTCCAGCGTGATGACATGTGCCCATGCAGCAACTTGATATCGCGGATCGTTCGACTGGTTGCGCGTGAGCTTATCAGGTTGGAT